TTCGCTCAAATCCACAACTTGGGCATGCGGGAAATTAGCAGTCACACATGCCGTCATCCAGTTGGTACGCAAGGACACGAAACGGGAGGATATTCCTGGAGGCTGGGAATAGATGATACGGAGTAGGTCCATCTGCTACAGTCAAGAATCGCAGAGGATCTTCTGGCGCGAGTCGCCAAGTGGAACTCCATTTCGCTGGCACTGAGTGTCGGACGAGGCTCTCGGCTATACCTGTAAGAATTGCGTCTCAGCGCCACGAAATTTTGAGAGATACTAATGAGCTCTGAAGTGAGGGGTGGACGAGTTGATGCAGGGCTCGTACAGAATTGCCGAAGAAGGCGAAGATGCTGATCAACCTGAGAATCTTTAGGTCGACCTAGTAAGATTCAAAACATGTCCGGAACCGTGGTGAATATCTCTGTGGCCAAATATGCATCCGTCTTGACAAACTGTGTCGTCGGGGAATCCGTCGACGCAGGGGATTGCAATGAACTCGACGCCGCATTTCGATGGTGTCCTGCACGGGACTCCCAGAATGCCCAGAGGACCTCGACCTCCTGAAAGAGACGCATCTTGAGGTCGCCCCTCAAAGATACAGTATAGGTTGCCCACCTCATGTAAGGACTTTATATCAATCGATTGTTCTGCGACCTGCCAACCCGCCGATTTCTTCCCAATGGCAGTCGACCTCAACATACGAATTTGTGTGATGACCTAGGAAAGCTAAGATACTCCCGAGCACTCACGCGCACTCACCCTTTCACTGTTGGTAATCTGTACCGCTCTGTCAGCATTAGGGGGCATCTTCAGATCACTGTGGTCGTTCCCAAGGCGTTCCAAATGCGACTTGAATGTACCTACGCGAGTTCGAATCCCACGAATGTCAATTTTAACCCCCTCTTCTACCCAGACTAGTCGTCGCAGGGAGCCGGAACGGTAAAACCTCTCCACCGTTTTCGATCGCCTGATCGATTTCATCTCCACAGCATCCGAATCAATTCGAGCTCGCCTGTCTAGCGAAGATGTCCTTCACATACTGCCGAACCAGCCTCAAGTCGAAATTGTTATCAACCCTACAACCGTAGACCGCGTTCTCCAGGATTCCCCTCAGAGTCTGCCATTCCACTGAGCAGATAAGCCAAAAATCGCAGGTTCGAATCCCAGTAAGATCATCGCGCACCACTGCCATCTTCCTTCACAACTTGCAGTACCGTCTCGCAAGCGCTCTTCAAATCACCTGTGGAGAATTCATAGTCTTTTGTCCACCCCTGAGGAAAGGCACCATCATAGAAAACAACCCAGATATCTCCCCTTACAAACCTGCGGAAGGAAGGAGGCCCTTTCCTGAACTATAGCGTGAAACCATGCACAGAGGAAAAGAATCTGAAACAACCGAGAGTCATCGAGCACGAGGATCTCAGAAGCTCCCACTTGAGATCGCTGGATGTTGCCCGCCTCGAACCACCGAGCGTCCCAACTCTCGCAGATTCGCTTCACATTATCGCGTACCCCCGGAGGAAATTCAAATGCAACCTTCAGAGACGATTCCAATAACATTCGCGGGAAGTCGTCTCGAGGCTCTGTAGTAAGCCAGCATCTGCACGCATACACATAAGATACGCTCGGACATGACCTAGAAGACTGACCTGAAGTTCCTATGAGGATCACCACTGCGGAGCTCAACTTCGATTCTCCCCGCCCAAGCAAGAGCCAAGTGCAGATTCACGATGAGCACCCAATAACCCTCAGCCATCCCTCCTGAGCCACCGAAACACCCAGGTTCGATTCCCAGACCCGGTATGTCAGCTAAGCCTCACGTCTAAGCAGCTCTAAAGCCTCTCCTTCATTGCCACCACCAATCGCCATCGACACCAACTTGTGCCTTCGAAGAGAACTTTTCGCGCGCCCCGGAATTACCACCTCACCCAGTAGCAGCCGCATGCTCCGTCAACTCCCGTGTCGGATCAGCTCCCGGGGTGACGATGAAAAGGACCGGTAGAGCACCTCCTGAATGATGCGGAGCTTCGGAGAGGCTTTGAAGGGATGCGGTGGAAGGAGATACCGAAGATACAGTTAAAACCTAAAATGGCTTATCCAGGAATCGAACTTACACCCTCAGACGGATTAACCACTAGACTATGGCATACACTCACTTCAATGGTGAACCTCGTCAAGGCAGACTCGAGTCGGTCTGGTCGAAGCGCCTGGACGATGAGGACCTTCTGGAATGACGTCAACTTCAATGCAATCGCTTGAGGGAACTTCTCTTCACACGCATCCTCCTACAATCCAACCTATTCCGTATCTTCCCAAGCTCAACCTAGGATACTCACCTGCATCCACTCCTGCCATAAACTCGACTTGTCCATCTCTGCTTTGGCGTTCAAGTCCGGTGAAGCGACAAACAACTTAGCCAATTGGACCTTCCTTTCCACTGGACACCACGCCAGATGCCCTTCTCCCAGCGGAGGAATTCCGTCACGCGCCACAAAATTCCCCATGAACAACTCCCACTCCTCCTCCTTCATCGCTCCCCCTACCACACTTCTCGCCATCATCACCGCAAACATCAGCCTATGAAAATCACCCCTTCATATTTTCGTGGCGTGTGACGCTACCTATCGCGCTTGAACAATGTTCTCCCAACATACTCCAACACCTTTCCTTTCAATCGAGTCGAGATCTCCTCCACGCGGCCTTCCACATCGTCGTCCATCTGGGCCGACTTCGTATCTTACAACTCATCCCGAGCGATCAAAGACCTCCTGGAACTCACCACCCAGAGAAGCCTCGAAAATCTCAATGAACTCATTAAGAGAAAAGCGATACATAGGGCTGCGAAAATATCCAAGGTTCAAGCACCAAAGATACGGAACAGGTCCACCCACCCGATCTTCTTCATATCCGACATGAGCATGAAAAACTCCGACCCTTCCACCGCGATCCGCCGGAAGACCTACAATCCAAACCACACCCCCGGTTCGAAGCCCAGCCAGGGTACTCACCGCCCGTTGCTCATCAATGGCATCCTGCAATCGTGCGCTCTCTTGTAGACTCTCAGCAACGCTTCTCGCACTAGCCCCAGTTCTCCCCAAACTCTCAACCAGCTTCGCATTTTCCAAAATATCCCCTTCTACTATACCCAGCTGTTCCAAGAGTTCATTCTCCAGGTCAGCAAGTCGGGTCTAGCAGAAATAGCGATGCCGTTAACAGTGTTGGACTTTAGATTCGATTCCCTCACCTCAGCTTGGGACTTTCCTCACTACACTGTGAGGACTCGCACGTGATTCAAGGCACAAAAAATGAAATTTTTTGAAAATCTAAAAAACGCGGGTTCACGAAAAAACGCGGGTTCTCGGAGGAATTTCAAGGACCTTGACTATTTTTCAAAGTTCTTTCCTTTTAGAATCTATTCTAAGCCATTTTTGATTTCTCATATTGTAGTGAGGAAAGCCCCGCGCTGAGGTGAGGATACCAAACAAGTATTAAAACACTGATTCCAATCAACCTAACCTCACCTTGAGGCCTGCCTCCTCCGCAAGCAACTCATTCTTCCTTTTCTCAATCTCTGGACGATCATGCTTTAACACTATACCTAAGCATACCACACCTTCGCCACTTCCTGTCCCGACCGTCCTCACCCAGTAGTTGCCGAACCAGCCCTTGTCGAGTTACGCTGAAGTTCACCCCAATCACAAGGCTCCTCATATCAGGAGGAAGTAACTTCAAAATCGCCGGATCCCGACTCGTGAGGAAAATGCAAAAATCTTCAGAATAATCCACACTTCGCTCCGCTAAATACACCACTTTCCTCGAACCAATACAGCGGCAATCCCCTCGCAGAACCGGGAATAAAATTGGATGAATCTTCGCCTCGCTCAAATTCACCAAAATTGTCTTCCCAAATCGCAAAGAAAGTTCAAGTGCGTGCAAGAACCCCAAATTCCCATCATCAACAGCTTCCGTCAAAGCCACTCCGTTTTCTTTTAAATTTCGTTTTAACCAAATTTCCGCTTTTTCTGTCGGATCGGTCACCAAGGGTACAGCAACCTGAGCATAACGTAGCTTAGCAAATGTTGGAATATATGCTCGCTTTCCACAGCTCAAAAGTCACGAACGAATTCGCGTGGAAGTTTTCAGAAACCTATTACAATTTTCTCACAATTTTCATATTCTCACAAACACTGTGTTGATGACAGTATCTGTGCATATTTTCCCACGCTGATTCCTGCCATCTCAAAACCCACTTTATAGTTCTTTAATATCATCATCGCATTCTCCCCGACAACTCGTCGCTTCGAGTCTTGTCCTTTCAACTTCAGCATTTCCCCATCATTCGCCATAAATCCAATAAAAGAAAACCTTTCAATTTGTATCGACTTCGCCGTGAGTTTCGCTTCCCAATCCGAGAGATACTCCCCTCGCTCATCGTCCCCAAGCCCTCCAAGATGGACCGTATACGCAGCTGCGAGCATACTCTCCACCGGTAGGCATTCTGAAGAGAGCCAAAACTGCGTTAAAACGTTCGGGTGAAATTTTCACCAACTACGACCTGAAAATTGCCCAGAGTTCTTCTCACCCGTTTTAACGGTAATTCTATCAGATTCTCCCTCCCATCGCTTCTTCTCGTCCCCCAAACCCTCCAAAAGCCCCACCGCTTTAGCCAGCGTCCCTCTAGCCTGCTCAACTCCGTTACGAAGTGCTTCCGCTTCTCCTGAAGGAAAAAATCTAAAAATTAAAAACAAACAATTTTCTCCCTCACCTGTTCTAGCCGCGAATTCCTTCTGCATTTCTTTCACTTTTGCTGATATCTTTTCCCTTTCCTCTTCGCATTGATGTAACCGCAACCGAGCCGCATGCAGATCCTCCTCAGCTTCGTGCAGTTGTGCTTCCATCGGAGCCACCTTCTCCATCACTCGAGAATATCTACGAGGAAAAATACAATTTTCCTGTTTTTTGGAGCAAAAATTCAATTTTCTCAAAACTCAAGATCCACTCCTCTGATTTCTGCACCATACAAATTTCAACTTTTCTTTTTTTTCCAATTCCCAATAGTAAAAGTACCCAAACATGAATTTTGAGCATTTTTCGGAGCAGTCAAACTTGGAAAAGTGAATAATCTCAAATACATTCCTCACCTAACAATCGCTTTAACCCAGAGCGCCAAGGGTGCCGCAGCCAAACTCGCCCTTCTAATCACTGCATCCTCAAAAGACCTCCCTCTACTTTCCAATAACTTCTCCACCTCCCCCCGCGTTTTCTCCGATACCTTCCTCGCGTCAAAATTCAACACCTTCTGAATCACCCCTGACCCCGACAAGAATTTCCTCATCGCATTCCAACTCTCATCTGCGCTTCCCATTAAAATCAACACCCCATAAAGTACGTCATGTATCGCTTCCGGAGGCATTTTCAACGCTCTAATTTCATTCAAGTTATCCTGTTTGATCGACCCGACCGCCCTGCGCGCTTCCTCCAACACCGGTCGTATTCCCGCCAACTCCTCCTCTATCGTCGCGTGCTTCCTTTTCGAATTCATTTCCTCATTTTTAGTTTTCTCTCCCAAAATCGCCACTTCAGCTTTATACTTCGCAGCTTCCTCCAAGCCTTTCTCAATTCCCTCCAAAGCCTCATTCGCCATTTTTTCTTTCCTCGTCAACTCCTCCCCCTTCACCCGGGCTTCCTTGGTCAATCGATCAACCGTTTGATGCATATCTTTCAATTTCGCCAACCCCCGAGTTAATCTTTCCTTTTCCTTCCCTATTTTCTCCGAATTGTTTTTAAATACAGCCGTCCACAACTTCAACAGCGTCGAGAGATATTTTGGGCAACAGTTCAGCATCTCGTGAATATCAACCGCAACCTCACAAAGTGCCTTGTGATAGGAGACCATAGGCCGCCCGTTCTCCTCCAGAATATTTCTCAGATTTCTCGAAGTTACCACCAAAGACGTCCTGAAAGGAAATGCTTATCAAAATCCCACAAAACTAGGAAAAACCAAATATTAGTATTCTTAAAATTCTCGAAAAAATTTAACAATTTCCGACAGAAACTCGTAATTTCCCGAGAAAAAGAATCCCTACTTGCGGCTCCAACTCGTCCAGTTCCACAACACCATAGACCGCGTGAATAAGCCCGGGTTCATCGACGTAACATTATGGAAATGAGGATGGGTCGGATCCAATGACAATACCAACTTCAAATTCTTCCGCGTGCGTCGAGAAAGATACTCCTGAATGCTCTCGCCCGGGCGCATCTCAATCTGATAATCCTCCTTTATTTGTGAGTACACCATTTCCCTCTCCTCCCCAAAAATCAACTCCTCCGTGTCACCATTCGCCACCAACGAATTCACTACCGCGAAAAATTCCCTACATGGTCCCACAACTTGGTAATCTTCGACAAAAATTATTATTTTCTTTCCCTCCGCTCCGCCCGCTTTTACTACCGCCGTTTTCAAGCCTTTCAAACACGCTCGTTTATCCACTCCGACGGGCGTCAGCGACATCACCTCATATCCCAATGCGTCAGCCATCAGCGATACACTATCTCTTCTACCGCCCCCCGATCGTCCAATCATTAGCACGCATGCACATCCCGATCCCACATCACCACTCCCTAATGCTCGATCAAGACAAGCGAGATTCTCCAACACCTACGACAACGACAACAACAATATCGCCGTCACGCGCCACGAGATTCACCTCTTCCACCAGAGTAATACCCACAGGCCCAACATCTCTTTCGTAGGTCGCAATGCAAGTCGAAATCATATCCTTGTAATCGTCCTTAGACAATCGAGCCAACATGCCTAAACACAAGTAAACCTTCTGATTCATCGTATCGCTGGTTATCACTAAAACCGCGAAAAAAAAGGATGTAAAACAGGAGAACCCTGAGCTGGCAAATCTAACCAAGTACAGCAGCATTATGGTTGAATTGAAAGCCTGAACTTCCAAAAAGACCGGGTAGACCGGTATAACATTTATTTTATTTTATGTATAATACTGAGTACAAAATAATGAATCAAATATATATCTTATTTTCTTTTCGGTTTGCCGCGTTGGTTCTTAATTCTTAGTTTCTTCCTGAAACATTTTATTTCATTAAATGTTAACGAAAAACGTAAAATAATAACCAAATTTTCAAAAATCAACTTGTCGAGAAAACTCATTTGACCCGCGGATGCTGTGAACCTTCAAGTCTATCACCTGGCAGTTCTCCACTAAAAACCACGCACGGCTACGAAAGCAACGAAAAATCAGAATCAGCAAATCTGATGAAAAATATTCCCTACAAAACGCGACTTTCCTCAATCCTAATTCTCCCACTACCCCCTCACCTCGCCCTTCCTCTCCTTTCCTCACCATCGACGACCATTTACCCTCTTCTTTGTAATCAAATGAGAAATCTTCAACCCGAATCAACCCACCCAGGCGTTCCTCCGCAACTTGTCGTAAAATCGCATCGAATTTCGCTCGGTGCTTCGGCCCAACCAACCGGTCGCGAAAAATCCGTCTACTTTCATAACTACAATAAAAACGAAATTTATCTCCCCATATATTCTCACTTTCCAGAAGTTTACATATGAATCCAGGTAGAAATGTACAAAAACCAATCAACAACTATTTCGCAAAATTTCCTTAGAATTTCCATATTGTCACCAACACATCTCGTTGACCATGTACAATAATAAGTTTTCATCGATTTGTTTTTCGTGTCGTTGGAACATACGCTTGCTTTCCTCAGCTGACCTCTAAAGTTTACATGCGAATTCGCATAGAAAAATCGTATAAAAATCAACAATATTTTTCCAAAATTCATATTGTCGCCAACACACTTGATAGTCATGTGCCAATTTTCCCACAATACCAAGTCGCCATTGAAACATTTTTTGTGGCGTTAGAACATATGTTCAGCTTTCTTCTTCTAAGCTCAAAAGTCTTCGTTATGACAAATTCACACACGACTCAGAGGAGGAGTATCTCCTTATTCTCATCGACCATACTCTCCCCCATCACTACCCCCATGCCTCCACCACCACAACCTTCGTCGTCGCATCCTCCCCACAGTCCAGCTCGTATCTCAGCAATCCTTGTAACCACTCACTAACATCTCTAGGATTGAATACATAATGAGTGTACCTGACTTCGTTCCTCCTCCCCAAACCGTCATCGACTACGACTCGGGCAACTACATTTCCGGTCCAAAGTTAATCGAGATCTGCTCATACACGTCAACCATAGCGGTGGTAACAGCAACCATCACTTCACTGTCCTCAACTGATCTCATCAAACTACAAAAAATATTTCTCAAGTCCGCTTGGTTCGGAGGGCTGATCCATGCCTGGCACACCGCTGAGGTGAACCTGAAAATTTCATTCATAAAAAACTTCGCTCCGCTAAGAAAATTTTCACCTTTTCGAGATCGCATGCCTGCCAAGAGCAGTCGAAGGCGCCATAGTGGCGATGAATTGTATTTTCTCCAACGAGGCTTCCTCCAAATCAGCGTCATTAAATGTCTGTAGAAAAATGCACCCACCAGGGATCGAACCCACGACCTACTCCATGAGAAACCATCCCCTGTAACGCCGCCACCAATTGGATCGTACCATAACGATCCGGCTTGGGTAGATTCACATCCTCTATTTGCACTACCACACGCTGGCCTTCTCTCGGCCTATATGCTCTTCCCTTAACACCTACCTTCAAAAACTATTCCATCACGATTTTCCCAGACTATTCACCAAACTGTTGGTTTCCCATTATCACTCACTCGTCCCGACTTGACAAAGATTCTTCAACTTCATCACCACATCCCTAGCCGCCGTCCCGCCACTGCACGCCATTGACACACTCCGGAAATTAATTTCATCTGCGAGAAGTAAATTTCCCTAAACTTCCACGTAAATATTATAACCTCTCAATTCCGACAAAGCATGTCGAATCAACAGCCTTTTCCCCGAGCCCTCAGGACCAGCAAGGATGAAGTGCTTGCCTAAAGTACTCCCAAATTCCTGACCGCGCGCCACGAAATTACCCACCACTGCGCAGTATCGGTTGGAAAAGGTCCAACATCATCATCACTTGTGGTGTTTGGACCAGCGGTATCGTCGTCGTCCATGCAGGAACCTCATCCAACATGCTTTTGTATCTTCCACGTAGTAGTATGAAAAGCACTACAACGTTTTAAGCCGGGTATTCTCGACCAAAACCGTGATTTTTTTCACCCCAACGATTATTCACCCATGCATCATCTACCTTATCAGCCGTCCCTCTTCATCGCCCCACACGCAATTCTGCGGGTCGGCCTCATCCGGGAGGATCTCTTTGGCGCACTCAAAAGCAAACCTGAAAAATTCAATGCCTCCGAACAGCTCCATTCCTGACTAACCTGTAGAGCTGACGCGACTGCTTCGGATTATTGATACAACCTCCAAGTCCACGTACCACAGCCAGCAAGAATGTTTCCTACCAACTAAACCTCTGTCCATATAGCCTCACGGTAGAGCGTTCGACTATTATCCGAGAGATCCACAGTTCAATCCCCAGCACTGACCTTTTTAAGCCCATCTTCAATAGCAGCATCCACGTGACACAGCACATTCCTCACCAAGCCAATCGTAGTAGTTTCAACCCCCACATCCCTTCCCAACGACACATTTTGCTCCACCCATTCGAGACACCTACCAACTACATATCTTGCAATCTTACCAAATCTTGCATTTCCTCAACGCTACTACCTATACAAGATCGACTCGCACCAATCCTGAAGCATCGTAGCCGACACTCCAACCTGTCCCTTCATCCACCTCTCCACTATCGCCTCCACTCGGACTCCCCCACTGGCAGGCAGATACACCATACCTGATAATTTCGTGACGCTATCACACACATCCTCTTGCAACTTGTTGGTGCACTCTAATTTCTCCTCTACGACGACCATTCATACATCTACACTGATAATAATCTACCTAAGCCTTTGTTATCCAAACGGGTATCGACACTGATATGTCAACATACACCCCCCAACCCCGAGACCACCGGTCCTATCCGGAAATTTATTCCCCGTCACTCTGAAAAAAAAGTTCCCTGCTAATTTTTAGTCCGACCAAAAATTTCCAATAGCTTCACCACACCTACAAAAATACCGAAAATGACGAAAAAATGATTATTTGCGTCATGAAATATTTCAACAAATTTATTCCCCGATTCTCCATCACTCACCCAGTCGAGAAACCGTCGCTGGAGATGCGTATGAGAGAGTATCCGTTTCGAATATGAAGTTTACATTATCATTAAATCGTATTCTCTCGCCGTTCGGAAGTGTCAACAGACGATTATCATCTGAGTAAAAAATACACAAACTCGGACTAATTTTCTCACCCAAAACCGAATTCAACGATTCAATCCACTCAGGATCAATATCACCATCACATACAATCCAACACATCGTCTCCAACGGTTCCTTGCTCACCTAAAACCACCGTCACGCGCCACAAAATTACCCCCTTCCCACCCTCCTCGAAGCCGCCGTCAATACCCCATCCTTCCATTCTCGCGTGTCACCATCCATCCTCCCCAACAGATGTCCCTTCGAGATGCTCTTCGGGTTAACAACCTGCACGCGTACGCTCCTCCCACTGCTTCTCCTCAAACCCTCAGCCAAACTCCTCCAAATCACCGTCTTCCCACTCCCACTAGGCCCGACTACGCTCACACCAATTCGCTGCTTACACGCCTCATACAACTGCAAAATCTTGCTCACTTGCTTTTCCTCAACGCTCATCTGCTCCTCCCTAATACCATCTCTCACACACTTCTCAACTTCCCCATGATCGACTTCGGCAGTTTCAACACCGGGGAAAATATCCTTCAAAAGGGCCTCAAACTGAACCGAATCTTCCTCCGACAACTTTGCCAACACACTCGACCGCGTCGCTGTCACCAAAATTTCCTCCTCATTCCTCACCGCTCCCTCACGAGCCAACAGCCTCCCCGCGTGCATCAACACACTCTTCAACGCTCGAAGGCCCCAATCGTAGTGTTGCTGTGATGACAACAACTGCGAGCTCAGCATAAACAGCGATACGACTCTCCCAGATAGCATTTTAGCCGAGCGGAAGCCTTGGGAGAATAAAATAACCTGTGAGGCTGTGGACGACGTCGGTTCGATCCCCAATGAGGTTACCTCCGCAATCATGTCGTTGTCAGGAACCAACATAGCCACCGGTCGGAAGAGCTGTCGGAGGTTGTCCGGTAGTTTCTGCCGCCCCCCATACCCCTTACCCGCAGGGTTCATCGTTACGAAGATACCAGCCTGGTGGTTGACTTGGACATCTAAATTAGGAAGACTAATATAAAAAGGTCAATCGTTTTCCCCAAATTCGTTTTTCACTTTTAACATTTAAGTGGTTGAACCTACGACAGCTGAGAGTAATCACTGCGTGATGTAATCTCATTCGATCAGATGTTTCCACCCGTCTCCCATACCAATACGAATAACCACAAGATTCCCCTGATTACCAAACCGTGGAAATTTAAATATTCCAAAGGGCTGAGCCGAGAATCGAACCCGGGACCTCGCGCACCCGAAGCGCGAATCATACCACTAGACCACACAGCCGATGATGAATAACTCACTCATGCCAAGCAGGTCCACCATAGGCAACTTCCCCTTTATAGCGGACTGTATAACTTCTATCTGTTGAGATATCGTCGACATCTGCTCTTCCAACAATCTATTAAACTCATCAAAGCATCCCCACGCCCCACATCTAAAACCAAGAGATGTCCCTCAAGCCTCGAGAAACACACGAGCAGTATGGACGCCACAAGAGCACCATATCGTCATAATACTTGTGTCAGAGCACATGTAATTTTCAATTGTGTAAATATTCAATTTACACAATTGCAATTTTTTATGGTAATCTACATATCATCATAATAATCGAATAATAGAATATCAACGATTAATGAGAGTGTTATGAAGCTCACTAGTCACACCATATTTCCGCGATGTTATGTCGGACAAATTTCCGCCATAACAAACGATCTATACATTATCGTCATAATAGCGACGACCATTCTAGCGGAGCGAAGTTTTTTCCCATCCATTACCTCACCAACCCGATAAATATTCTCCCCATACTTTTATAGTCAATTCCTTCATCACAATTAAATACCAAAACTTGCCGACCCAACCAGCCTCCAAGCGCCTTCACCGATTCAGTCTTCCCTGCTCACACCCAAAGATACTCTACGCACAGCGAAGATTTTCCCTACCAGTCCCCGCAGGTCCATAAGGATTCCCTCCATGGCCCAGATGCAAGCCGTGCATCAACGTCATAAAGCACTTGTCAGTCAGGGGCGTGTGCACCAATTTCGGAATATTTCCCTGCGGAAAATCGGGAAAATATGGGGAAAAATCCAAAAATTTTCCTACTTGATATTCAAAGGAGTATTCCTGACGACATGCAAGCATCTTCACATAAACGTCCCCTCCTCTTCCACCCTGGGTTGAATAGAATCTTAGCTGCTTGAACCTGATCACAACTAGCAACTACTTCACCACAATTTTCCATTTTTTCGGAGACAAATTTTCTCCAGAGCAAAGGAAACTCAATTACTCACAATTTCGACTTTCCTCAGAAGAAAATTTTGTCCAGAAGTTTCGAAAGGCCCAGGAAAAAATTTCCGGGATTTTTCCGTAAAAATACTTTTCCTACCATCCCCAATCCTCCTTATCACCAACCCTCTTCTCCACCAACTCCTCCACAACCGCCGCATTATGAATAATATCCATAATCACATTTTCCAGCTTCGCTCCGCTAAGATCGTCTGCATCTTTTTGCATTTTCGTCAGCTCCCCCAGTCGCCCCATCAACTTCTGATGAATATCTTTGATCGATTCCGCCCTCTCAAACGACTCCTCAATTTCCTTCGTAAATTTTATCGCGCCCTCAAGGGACAAAATTTGGCCCGGAAAATCAGAAAATTTTCCATTTTTTCCACACCGCATTACCAATTTTTTCAGCGTTTCTACCATCCCCCGGTCCAATTCTTTCAGCCAATCCTCAATCGATCGCGTGATCGATATCGACTCCTCCAAATTCACCACCTCCCCCATAACACTGACCATCGCAGTTATTCTCTTTTCCTCCCCAATTTCAACCCGATGAACTCCACCGAATAAATTCCTTAAATGTGTTTGAACAACCTCAACCTCTTCACTGCGCCCTAAAATTTCAAGCAGATCTTCATCACCAATAAAATACAATCTCGGACAGGCCACCCTTTTCTGTTCGAGATACTCAATCAGATTCTTCTGGCACCTCCCAAGCTGTTCCATCATCGCCGTCAACTCCGACAATTTCGTCTTTTCACGATATTCTACCACCAAACTATTCACCGGGCGCGCGCTCTTTCCACCACCATATGTCGAATTCACAAATTTTCGAAAGTCTCTGTCAACCCTCGAAAATCGTTCGCTCTCCGACGGCAAAGCTCCACGACCGAGAACCGGTTCCAAGTAGATCCACTTTCGCTGAACCTACAACCACTCAAATGTGACGAAAATATGGTATTGAATATATGGGACGGGAATATATGCACATGGTCAACTACAGAAGTTTGTAAATTCTGAGGAAACTGGGAAATTAATCAACTACATGTACCATCTCTCTGTTTACTTGTTTGAATGGTCAAGGCTGCTTTTGACGAGCGTTTCACTCCTATACTGTCGGACTTCGTGTATAATTCTGTTTCCAAAAAAACTATGTGCTGTTAAAAATATGTAAATTCTCAGGTGGATTACGAAACTTATGAGCTCAGTCGAGGAAACCCAACACATACTCTCACACTGATCATACCATATTTCATCAGCCCCTTACCCACCTTATTAAAAACATGCAAAATCTCATCCAGCGCATTCAATTTCTCCTCCACCCTTTCCGCCTGATCTCTAAACGGTCCGAAAAATTTCGAATCTTTCAGGGAAGCGCACAAACTCTGCTGCTCACTAAGTCCACTTAACAATTCTTGCCATTCTCCAATAATGAAAATACTCTCACCATCGCAAGTCCGATACTCAGACACTTCAAGTGGGGTCGCCTCAAACCACGAGGTCAGCTCGGAGATCGCCTCCCTCAGAGTGATCTCACCAACCGCGCGCGCCGCCAAATTCCTAATCGCCGATTCGTTTTCCAAAATACTTCTGCAATTCCCAATTATCGCTGAAACCATCAAATTCTCTAATTTCGTATCCCTCGGCAATCCAATGAGAGAAAAAAGTATCTGCAACTTCAATATACCAAATCGATCACGCGATCGATTTCGTCCCACTTTCCAGTGCTCTTTCTCAAACGCCTCTCCTCCCATACAGGCCTTTATAACGGGATAAGCCTCCTCGAGCTCTCCAAAATACTTCATCAACAACAACTCCACCGAAGTGGATCGATCACCCGACGACCACGCCGACGATTTAGTCTAAATACACGACGGAAAAAATTACCCACTTTAACCGTGTAAGAAAACGGAGCCAGAAAAATGGATTATTACAAAATTCCGCATATCAAGAAATAAATGCAAATTCCTCAGCGTTAGTGAAAAACCCTCAGAAAATTCGAAAATTCCCGAAATTTTTCTCGGAAAATTTCTCACTTTTCCCCGCCATTTGTCAATCAACTCCCCAAGTCTTATAATCCTCGGACGAAAATCAAGCCATAGTTCTCCACCCAAACCGTGTAAAATCGTCCGGAACTCGGAGAAATTTTCCCACGATAAAACAGCCTTGGATATCTCTCGTTCAAGAGAATCATACACCTCAACCTGACAACAGAATTATCAAAATCGTCACGCGCCACGAAATTCTACTTCTGGCAGAGGCATACCAAACTCCTCGCAATCATTTCGAAGAGTATCTGCTCGCCATAATACACAACCGTTCACAAACCCGCCCACACCTCACCCGCAAAGGTTCGAATCTCGGCAAAGTCATTTTGCCATTCTCCCATTTGTTTTTCCGCCGCAACAACACTCTCCCCAAACGGTGAATCTTCCACTGCTACTACCGGTTTCAACGCCTACACCCACACACACAAAATTCCCATCTCCCACCACCCTTGATATCACCTTCCATCTCGATGCGTATCTCTCAGCCATTTCTTCCAATTCATCAATTCTTCCGCCCATCCGCTGCTTTAACTTCTCTCGAGAATCCTCTACGATAGATCCAAGACCCTCTACTTTAACCGTCACCGCGCCACATAATTCTCGCAGCCTTTCAAGACCTACTACCACTCCCCCGCCTGTCGACTCGATCAAGACCGCCCTCTCGCTCAAACCGTCCAAATGTTTTCTTATACTCGGTAATTCTTCGGACAGCTTCCCAACCTCATTTTCACATTCTGCGATTTCTCTAAAACTCTCCGGAACAGCAGATAGTTTTTCAAGAGATGATTCAAGTCGCTCCGAAATCGATTTAATTTCCTCATTAACTCTCCGCTTCAGAGATATCACCAACTCCAACGAGAATCTAAGGTCCACGACAATAAGATTCAAAATAGGCCCAAAACCATACCGTTCGATTTGCTCCTCCACCACGGCTTTCAATATCACCAGATGTACCATAAAACAATCAACTCTCACAAAATCCGGTATTCTCTCCAACTCTCGTTTTTTCCGCCTCATTTGCTTCAAATT